CTAGGAGATTGCTGATGCTCTAGGCGAGAGGAGTGTTGGATCTTCTGGCCTGAAGTTCTGGTCACCTTCACCCTATTCCCATCTCATTACAGGTTCATACCTATGTACTGCATGTCATGCGTATAGTTAAGATCAGAGTGCTTTCTGGGACAAGCATGCATGTTGACAGCCCCTAAAATGATCTGACTCCTTGTCAATCATTCCTATCAATCACACCTAGAGATTCAGTGGAGGCATTTAAACAGTGGTGCCTGGGCTTTTAAATTCTAAAGCCAGGTGGTACATGCCTGTAATCCCAGCTCTCAGGAGGCTGAGGCAGGAGGATTGCCTAGAGTTTGAGGCCTGGCTGGACTATATAGTGTGTTCATGGTCAGCCTGAACTACATAGGGAGACCCTGTCACAATCAGTCAATCAATTCATTCATTCTGAAGCCAGGTATGGTAGTGCATGCCTGTAATCCCAACACTCAGGAAGGCTGAGGCAGGATTTACCATGAGTTTGAGGTCAGCCTGGACTGCATAGTGAGTTTGAGGCCAGCCTAAACTACTTAGCGAGATCCTGTCCTCCCCAAAAATTCTGAGAGATGTGCTTTTTGTTGCTGTTGCTACCTTTGTGTGCAGCGCTTTTCTGTCTGTACCTTAGCTTTTTTTTTTAGCCATGGGCGGCCAAAGGCTATTCGGAAATGAGCGGTCAGAGGAGCGGGCTGGGGAGGCCTGGCGCTGTTGCTTTACAGCCGCAGCCCCCATAGTGGGCGCAGGAGCTCTGGGCCTGATGGCTGCCGTGCTGTGTGCGGGGCTCGCACCCCGGTGGCCGTGTCCCACCTTGGCTCTCAGCGTGGTGCTAGGCCCAGCGTGCAAGCGGCGCCTTCACTTGCTGCGCCACCTGCACGATGGCCAGTGTGAATGCGAAGCTGGTGCCCAGCCCTCTGCTGCTGAGCACCTGGCCATCCCTTTCCACACGGCTCTCGGAGTAGCTGTAATGATTCCCATTCATCATTTTGTCTTTAGCAGCTTTTGTCAGCATGCACTTGCCCTGAGCACAACTTCCGGTGACCTTCAGTAAATGTACCTGCTTGCGACTCACTCCTGGGTGCGCACTTGGCAGTTCTTTCCTCCTAGCGGGGCCTGGATGAGACAGCCTGGTCTGGTCCGTGGCCGCAGTCTCGCTGTGCATTGTGGTGCAGGGGATGGGAGGAGACCCCAGAGGGATGGGGGCAGGTCTCCCACCACAGGCTCACTGCAGCGACCAGGCCCCTGGTCCTCTGCTCCCGAGCAGCAGGGTGTGTGTGGAAGGGTCCTGAGTGACAGGTGCCTCTGCAAACCCACCAGGAGTGAAGTATTGGCCGATGCTGTGGGTGATAATTAAGCACTTGACAGCCCCTTGGCGATCAGGTTCCTAGTGGAACCTTTTGTTGTGTGAAGATTATCGATGCCAAAATGGAATCTTTCTCTACAGCGAGTCGGGCAGTTCTGCCCTCTGGAAGAGGGTTCCTGGAACACAGTTGTTACTTCAGGCAAAGCACACTCTGTGGGAGGTTCAGAGACCCCGTGTTTTCTGTCCGTGTGGCTCAGTCCATGGTGCTGTGGGCCTGCTGCTCCCGGAGCTGTCGTAGTGGCTGCCATCCTAACCCAGCCTGTTAGGTTGTCTCTCTCTGCTATGCTTGTTTCCCCTCCAGGGAAACCTCACATTCTGTTCCGTTCTGTGCTAGCATTGGGCATCTGCAGCCTCGCGGAGGCTCTCACCTGCCCGGTGAGGTGAACTAGGGCAGGCACTGTCTTCCGGGCCCTGAGCAACGCCAGAGGACTCGCCAATCCTGGAGCTTGTCGGAAGTGCAGGCTGTGATTCTCAGCCTTCGTTCTCCTCAGCCTGCATTCTCGTGGGGCCTGGGAGGTTCCGGGGACGTGAGAACTGGAACAGCCCTGCGCCGGGCTGGGCCCCTGTGTCTCTCCCAGTGCAGAGGAAGTGTCGTGGGCACACTTGGTGCTTGCCGGGTTCCATGTGCCGATGCACGTGGGTGTCAGTGGAAGCGAGAGCCTTCTGCTTCAGTCCTTTGAGCACCCCTAATACCTGCCTGCTCCCTAATTAACTAGCTCTTCTGCTTAAACTCTGGAAACCATTTTCCAGTAAGGGTCTGGGTCAGATATACCATCTGTCAGAATCAGGTTTACCGGGTTCTGAGATCAATGCCTAGCACCTTAAGGTGTACAAGTTTTCATGTGTGTGTGTAGTATACTGGAAAGCCACAACCACATCAAAAGACCGTAATCATAGTGACCCCCTACTAGAGTTTTCTTGTGTCTCTTTATGTAGCCTCCTCAACATCCCCAGTGATCACCAGCCTGCTACCTGTTCATTCTCTAGAAGAATTGTATATAGATGGAGTCAGGCAGTATGGCTTTGTCTGCATGGCCTCTTGCAGTACAGTTACTTTGAGATCTGTCATGAGCACTGTGTGTGCCACGTGTATTAGATTGTTGTTACTGCTGAGTAGTATTCATATTCTGTGTTCTGTGGTATGAATATAGTTGTCTGTGGGTTGTTTCCAGTTACTTGTTGGGCTGCCGTGAATGCTTATGTGGAGGTCTTTGTTTTGCTTGGTAACTACTACAGAATTGAATACCTAGATCATATGGTCCAGGAATACTAACTTCTTAAGAACCTGCTGCTAGTTTTCCAAGTGGTTAAACCATTCTGTATCCCCACCAGCAAAGAATCTGGCTTCCTTTCATTGCCTCCAGTACTTGGTATTGTCTCTTTGGTTTTACCCATCCTAGTTTATTTTGCATGTCACTAATGAGCATATTTTTTGTTGTTGTTCTGTTTTTGAGACAGGGTCTTCCTATGTAGTCCAGGCTGGCCTCAAACTAACAGCTATCCTTTTGCCTCAGCCTCCCAAGTGCTGGGATTACAAGCATGAACCACCATGCGCAGCAAAATCATTAATTGTATGTCATGATTTGAGAGTTCTTTATTTTGGATTCAAGTTTCTTATTAGAAATAATTTGTGAATATTTTCTTCGGTCTGTCTTTAAAAGTGTCTTGATCTTAGCTGTTGATCTTAGCTAAAAGGCTGAGAAGAAATTAAAGTGTCTTTTAAAAAGTAGCTATTTTGGCCTTGTGTGGTAACACACACCCTACTCCCAGAACTGGGGAGGCTGAGGCAGGAGGATCATCATGAACATCATCATGAGTTTGAGGCCAGCCAAGGCTATAAAATGAGTTTAAGCCCAGCCTGAACTATATTGGAAAACTCTGTTTTAAAAAGATGAAGGAAGCTGGGTGTGGTGGCGCATGCCTGTAATCCCAGCACTCGGGAGGCTGAGGCAGGAGGATCCTTGCAAGTTTGAGACCAGCCTGGGCTACAAAGTGAGCTCAAGGCCAGCCTGAACTGCATAGCCAGACCCTGTCTCAAAAAGACAAAAAATTTTTAAAAATTTAAAAAAATAAAAAGAGGAAAGAGTCGGGGATGTAGCTAAGCAGCACAGCACCTGCCTGGTAAGTACAAAGTCATGAGTTTGATTCCCAGTACCAACCCCTGCCCCCGAAAAAAAAAGATGAAAGGAAGGACAGGGTGGCGCACGCCTGTAATCCCAGCACTTGGGAGGCTGAGGCAGGAGGATTGCTGTGATTTGGAGGCCAGTCTAGGTTACAAAGTGAGTTCAAGGCCAGCCTGAAGTGTGTAGAGAAACTTTGTTTCAAAGAGAGGGAGAGAGAAATTATCATTTTCTTTTGTACATGGACTTCCAGTTGTTCGGAATCTTTTGTGGAAAATATTATCCACTTTCTGCTAAGTTCCTTGGAACCTTTGTCATAAACCACCCATCTTACATACAGAGAGAAAGAAGTTTCCACATATGGAGCCTGACAGGAGGTGCAGACCACCGAGGGAGCAAGTTCTCTGGGCTCCCAGGTGGTGAGGGGGCTTGGCTTCCAGTGGGAATATTTTTTCTTTTGAAACAATATCTCACTTTGCAGTGCAGGCTAGCCTTGAACAGACTGTGTGGGGCGGGCTGGCTTGGACTCAGGGATACTCCTGGTCCATCTCCTGGGCGCTGAGGTTACAGGCGTGCGCCACCACACCCAGCTCAAGTTGGGATCCGGGCAGCGAACCATGAGCTGCCTTGGGAGTCCAGCAAGAGCAGACCTGTGGATGTGCATCCTACGGGAGTTGAGAAAATAGTCCCCGAAACCACTCGTGGCGGTGCTTTCCTCTTTCACGGAGCACTGGGTGAAGGAGGCACTTTCTGGAGGCACAGGAGAGACGCTGAGTCGGTACATCAAGTGAGTAATTTAGGACCGGCCTTCCCCTCCTGGAAGCCTAGCTGCAGACGTGACTGGACCTCTGTGGAGGGGACCGAGGCTTAGGATCTCGGAACCCCTGTGGTGTGTGGAATGCACAGTTGCACAGGGCCTGTAAGGTTCTGGGCCAGCATGTTTTGGAGTCAGTGTAAGGGTGACGCAGGCAGCAGACTGCCACTGTTTAGAGCCCAGTTCAGTGCCCACCACTGTCAACTCACAAAAGCCCTCTCCAGAGAGATACTGGTTGTCCCAGAGGCAGCTGGCGTGAATGACACAGTTGCCTTTGGGAGCCACCCCTGGCAGGAGTCTCTATCCCCGTGTCAGAGGAGATGCACGCGGCACGAGCCCGGAAGGTGACCTGTCTCGAGGCTGGGCAGCTACAGGGGCTCATGTCCTTCAGGGGTCTCTCTCACCTGGCTTAGTCAGCGTCTGTGCTCCGCCTCCTGTTGGGCCCAGGGGACGGGAAGTCCAGCACTGCGTCCTGCGGTGCACAGCTCTCCTGGGTCCAGGCTGAGAGTTCCCAGGGGTTGGTGGAGGAAGTGGGCTTGGCGCTGGGTGCGGGCGCCCTGTGTTGCCCTCCGGGACAGCCTGGCTGATTTGGGGAGGGAAGACTGACTGTAGCCCCCACATGTGTCCAGACCTGTGTCTCGTGCTGGAAGCCGGAGCGCCTAACGCCCTGGGAAACCTTTCTGTCTTCCAGGCCCTGCTGGCAGGCATGCGGAACCGGGAGAACAGCTCGCCCTGCCAGGGCAATGGAGAGGCAGCTGGCAAGAGCAGAAGCGTGGGCTCTGCGTGGCTGGGCGAGGAGGAGCCCTGCAATGACACGACCACCCCTTCTTACAAGAAGCCTCTCTACAGCATCTCGCACAAGATCATGGAGAAGAAGAACCCGCCCGTGGGGGACCTGCTCAGTACCTATGAGGTCTTCGAGAAGCCGAACCCCAGCAACAGCCCCTCCCCAATGCGCCTGCTGAGTGAGTCTCAGAAGCGCGACTGTGGTAGCATGGGGGCTGCCGCGGATGGGGACCCCAACATCTACTTCCTCATCCAGAAGATGTTCTACATGCTCAACACCCTCACGTCCAACATGTCCCAGCTGCACAGCAAGGTGGACCTGCTCTCCCTGGAGGTGAGCCGCATCAAGAAGCAGGTGAGCCCTTCCGAGCTGGTGGCCAAATTCCAGCCACCGCCCGAGTACCAGCTGACCGCTACTGAGCTCAAGCAGATCGTGGACCAGAGCCTGTCGGGCGGGGACCTGGCCTGCCGGCTGCTGGTGCAGCTCTTCCCCGAGCTCTTCAGCGACGTGGACTTCTCTCGTGGCTGCAGTGCCTGCGGCTTTGCTGCCAAGCGGAAGCTGGAGTCCCTGCACTTACAGCTTATCCGAAACTACGTGGAGGTCTACTACCCCTCGGTGAAGGACACGGCTGTGTGGCAGGCCGAGTGCTTGCCGCAGCTGAACGACTTCTTCAGCCGCTTCTGGGCCCAGCGGGAAATGGAGGACAGCCAGCCGGGCGGCCAGGTGCCCAGCTTTTTTGAAGCCGAGCAAGTGGATGCCAGCCACTTTTTGGACAAGAAGGACCAGGAGGAGGCCCTGTCTCTGGACCGGAGTAGCACCATCGCCTCTGACCACGTGGTAGACACGCAGGACCTCACCGAGTTCCTGGATGAAGCCTCGTCACCGGGCGAGTTTGCGGTCTTCCTCCTCCACCGGCTCTTCCCCGAGCTCTTTGACCACCGCAAGCTAGGCGAGCAGTACAGCTGCTATGGTGACGGCGGCAAGCAGGAGCTGGATCCGCAGAGGCTGCAGATCATCCGCAACTACACAGAGATCTACTTCCCCGACATGCAGGAGGAGGAGGCCTGGCTGCAGCAGTGCGCCCAGCGCCTCAACGATGAGCTGGAGGGCCTGGGGCTGGAGGCGGGCAGCGAGGGCGAACCCCCTCGGGACGACTGCTACGACTCCTCCAGCCTCCCGGACGACATCTCCGTGGTCAAGGTGGAGGACAGCTTTGAGGGCGAGCGGCCCGGCCGCCGCTCCAAGAAGATCTGGCTGGTGCCTATTGACTTCGACAAGCTGGAGATCCCGCAGCCTGACTTCGAGGTGCCGGGCCCCGACTGCTTGCTCAGCAAGGAGCAGCTGCGCAGTATCTACGAGAGCAGCCTGTCCATTGGCAACTTCGCCTCGCGCCTGCTGGTGCACCTCTTCCCCGAGCTCTTCACCCACGAGAACCTGCGGAAGCAGTACAACTGCAGCGGCTCCCTGGGCAAGAAGCAGCTGGACCCGGCTCGCATTAAGCTGATCCGCCATTACGTGCAGCTGCTCTACCCCCGGGCCAAAAACGACCGCGTGTGGACCCTGGAGTTCGTGGGCAAGCTGGACGAGCGCTGCAGGCGCCGGGACACCGAGCAGCGCCGCTCCTACCAGCAGCAGCGCAAGGTACACGTCCCGGGCCCCGAGTGCAGGGACGTGGCGAGCTATGCCATCAACACAGAGCGGTTCCGGGAGGAGTACGAGGGGCCCCCGCTGCCCCCGGAAAGAAGCAGCAAGGACTTCTGCAAGATCCCTCTGGATGAGCTGGTGGTCCCCTCGCCCGACTTCCCAGTGCCCCCTCCCTACCTGCTGTCGGACAAGGAGGTGCGGGAGGTCGTGCAGCAGAGCCTGTCCGTGGGTAACTTCGCCGCACGGCTGCTCGTCAGGCTCTTCCCCGAGCTCTTTACCGCCGAGAACCTCCGGCTGCAGTACAACCATTCTGGGGCCTGCAACAAGAAGCAGCTGGACCCCACCCGGCTCAGGCTCATCCGCCACTATGTGGAGGCCGTCTACCCCGTGGAGAAGATGGAGGAAGTGTGGCATTACGAATGTATCCCCAGCATCGACGAGCGGTGTCGCCGCCCCAACAGGAAGAAGTGTGACATCCTCAAGAAAGCCAAGAAGGTGGAGAAGTGACGGGCCAAGGGTTGCCCAGAGACTTGGGGTCGCCGGAGCCTGAGCGCTGGGCACCCCCGGACTGAGCGTCACTGTGGAGCACATGTGTGGTACCCACAGGCAGGCACCTTATGTCCACGGGGTGTGGCTTCCTACCTTTGCACACATAAACACCCACCTGACCACAAGACAGGAGCCTTGCATTTGATTTCTTGTACTCGTGACTTTCCTGTGTCTCTGGTGTGGCTGCTGCAGTCTGGGGGAGGATGGCTGAGGGTGCAGAGGGGCTGGAGGAGTGGGGTCCTCTCCCTGGCTGCGGCCTCCATGGCGCTCACGGTCACGGTCCAGGATGCAAACTCGGTGACTCCTGGTCCTCTCCACACTTTTACACCCCCCCCTTTTTTAATTAAACTGAATCCCTTTTTTAAAAAGCAAAAATCACTGGGCTCTTTTGGGGCCATTTTACTTAGGAAAAAAAAATCTTTTTAAGTATTTGAGACGAAGTACTGTAAGATGAGTTAGGTGCTGGGATTTTTAGAGATGATTTCAGATTTCTGAACTTTGTAGAAGTGCCATGTTCGTGCGTGGTGGGTAACACAGCATGGGGCGGCACCGAGACAGCTCCCTGACCTTGTCCTTACCTGGTTCTGGAAGACTCGAGATGCCCCTTGGATGGCGGGAGAGGGCTGGGACCGGAGCAGTGAGGTGGAGCTGGTTCTGACCTAGCTGCGCCTCCCGCCAAGGCGCCTGGCGGGCTGTGTGCGCTGTTGCCGGGGCAGCCTGTGGTGCCCCCTCTGTGGATGAGAACACTGGATGATGATGATATGAATGTAGACAGACGTGGAAACGTGTTCACGATGTCTTCATGTGAGCTGTGTCCTTCGTGCCCGTTCCCCCTCGGTGTGTGGGTGCTGGTTGGAAGGGCAGTCAAGTTTTCTTGAAAAACGGTGTGTGTGGGCATGTGGCTTCTTATTTGATTTAAGGGTGGGCCCTTTGGGCTCGCTGAGAACTGTTTGTTTTCCGTGTGGGTATTTGTGTGAAATCCGGGTCTGGGCGCTGCACGGTGACTTCCCCAGGCCTGTGTGAGCCCCTCCCACAGCAGGACGTCCTTGTTCCTGGGCAGGCGGGCCTGGGCCTGGGCCCCCCTGGGAATACTTGGTTTTGGAAGGACACGGGTTATCTCAGATGGGGCTTGAATGTCCTTTCCAGGTCCACTCAAAACTTTCTCCTCAGCCCCCTGGAAGGTTTTACTGTCCTGCCCCTGGCCCGTCCCCTGGCTTTGAGGTACAACATCTCTTCCCTCCTTGCTGACTTGGAAGGTGTGACTGCTCTAAGCCAGCAGCTTGCTCTCAGGAGTGCTGGCCAGGAGACCTTTCGACAGGTTGTGTCCTGAAAGACAGTGTTTCTCCCTGTCCGGGGCCACGTGCTTAGGGGAAGCGAACAGTGCTGTGTCTTGCCAGAGACCCTGAATATAACTGAATCAAACCAGGTAGTCCGCAAGCCCTTGTGGGAGGTTACAGATTTAATAACCTAATGCTTTAGTATTTTGCTACCCTAAAATGCAGAAATAATAGAAATAATCTGTGAGTTTCCTTCATGCAGCTAAGAAAGTTAGTTCCAGTGACTGTTGTGACATACTTTTGCCTGTACTCAGTGGGCATTTATATATGTAAAACAGTTTTGAGCAATGTGAAGTTGCTGTTTTATGTCATTACAGCTTGTTTCTGCTGAAGCTGCAAGCCTGTAGTTTTGAAATTGAGAAATGCACGGGGACTTGAGTACACTCTGTCACACACCCACACCTTGGACGTACACAGGAAGTGTAAGGGAGAGAGGCCTACACAGATAACAAATTCTTTTGTGCCTGGATACAAGGGACTGGAGCAGCCAGGAGACTCACCTTTCCCCCCTCAGTTGGGCCTTTTTCTTTGCCTTAGTCTCCCTACTGTGCAAGTGCGCATACACACACACACACACCTACCCAAAGATGGCTGTGGCTCTCTGCCCTTGGCCCTGCTGGTTGGGGAGGGCGGTACCATGGAATTTGTTCTGGTCTCTAGGATGTATCCAAGAGGATTCCAAGCCATGTGAAAATTACCCTGCTTTTAGAGAGTGGAATGTGACCCTGCAACTTTAGAAGCACAATCAATAATTTTTTAAAAAATTCTTGTCTATTCACATTAGAGAAATCAACAGGTTGTAAGAATTAAATGTCTCTTTGCAAACTAGAGCACGGTAAAGTTTTAGAAACTGCGTTTTGGTGGTTTCCTTTACACCCTTCTTGTGTAGGGCATCTCCCGCATCTCCGATCCCTTTTAGTGAGGAGGGGCGGCCGTACCGGAGCTGTGCCCGTCCCCTGGACCGTGTTCTGTCTGTGTGGTGCGCTCACTTCTCCACCATTCGGGTGGCTCGCGGGGTGTGTTTTTTACATGAAGCAATAGAAGTACAAAAATGCTTATTTTTTCAGAATCTAACGTGTTCCTTAAAATCAGTTCCTTCTCTCCCAGTTTTTTGGTTTTAGGTGTTTGTGTTTTGGACTTTTTTTTCCTCCTCTCTCCCTCTCTCTCCCCCTGTCCCTCTCTCTTGTCTCTGTCTGTCTCTGTCTCTTTTTGCCTTATATCCCAAGGACTAAAGAATTAGCACAGACACATTCTGAGGTTAAGTAAAGTAGTCACAGTAAGGGTAGTGGTCATGGTTCTGGTAGTAAGGTGTTAAGGAATGTATGAAGATAGTCTTGAATGTACTGTTTGGATCCTGCTTCAGTTCTCGTGCCCGTGTCTACACAGTGACAAACATTTGACAGGGAATAAAGTGTCCATTGTCATGAGTGCTAGTGTACCCTTCCCCTTCGGTCTTGACCCCAATGTTTTTTCTTTTCAAGTTGGGGGTGGGGCTGTCTGCAGCAGTCACTAACCAACCGTGGGATCTGCTCCTGGTGATGGCTTGGCTGTTCGAATGCCAAGAGTGAGGGCCCAGCCCCGCCGGCACAGCCTCGCAGAGCTCCCCTGCGGCCCGGTTGGCAGGGGGCCTGCGCCGCCTGGTGTGCGGCTGTGTAGGTCCTCAGTTCTGAGTGCGGTGGGTGCCCTGGGGACCGGCACTGCCACTTGGAAATACTTGCCTCGCCTCGGGTAGATCCAGCCTTAATGTTTCTGACATCCTAGTAAGAGCAGACCCTGCACAAAGTGGATATCAGAGTTAATACTGTGAGGAGACAAAATAATGAGAATAGTTCTACCAAAGATAATGAATTGTCCAATACTGTCTGGATTTTACCATTGATTTGAGTGCATCCTTAGCAAACTGAATGTAACAAAAACCCAGGACATTTTTGCAAACTGTATGCTGTCTAGCAACTTTGTGTGAATTTTTATACAAGCACTGTTTTTTGAGTTATATAAAATGTTATAAAAATAGAAAACCTGTGGTCTCCTACCATCTTATTTCCTTAGGGCACTGGTCTCAGAACAACCTGGGTCTGCGTGCCTGTGTCTCCTTCACCGCTCTGGGCGTCGGCACTACTTTAGTGTTAGGTGGTGGTGGGTGACAAGAAGGCACCGAGTAACCCCAGCGCTGCCCTGATGTTCCCGCCTTCCTGGTCAGGTGCCGGGCCAGCCCTGCAGCGCACCCCGGCCTCCCTCGCGGGGCGGCTGCGCTCCCCTTTGACCCAGTGCGACATCGTTCCTCAAAGCTAATAAAAAGATGCGTTTTCCCTCGGCCTCTCTTTCCTTTGGCTAATTATATACCAGAAACCTTAAGTGGCACTTCCTAGGAAATGACAATGTCTCCAGCTGTCAGAGAAAGTATCTTGGCCCCGGGATCACAAGATGTAGTTTGTGGCTCCTTGGTGGGAACACTTTTCGTACAGCACCTGCTTATTTCCGGTGTTTTGTTTCGGAGCTGGAGATGGAACCCAGGCGTCACATGCTTTGCTGCTGAGCCACTTTTCCCCCAGCCCTGTGTTTCCGATTTGCGGCCCCAAAAGCCGTGCTGTAGCCTTGCTGACAGGCCTGCGCCGTCTAGCAGTGGAGCCTCCGATGCCAAGTCCACCCGCTGTTTAAGCAAGAAGTGAAGAAAGGGGGCTGGGGATTTAGCTCAGCGGCAAAAGCGCGTGCCTGGCAAGCGCAAGGTCGTGAGTTCGGTTCCCGGTACCGGAGAAAAACCAAAAAAAAAAAAGTGAAGAAAGGCTAGCTCTTTCCTATTGTTGCTGAAGGTTAGATTGATTCTTTAAGCCCCTTCTGGTTGTAGGTATGTTTTCTATGAGAAAGTTTAGAGTATTTTGGTGTGTGGGTGCATACTTTATCGGCTCTGCTTGTAAGCTCACCACACCAACTGCCATCATTGCACCAGTGAGTTGCCATGGCCTCTTGGGGGACTTCTGGGAAAGCTGACATCCTTGTCTGCTGCTGCTGCGGAGTGGAGGGGCGGGAGCGCTTCGAGCCTGCTGGCTGAAGTGACGCCTAACAACAAGACTGCAACAGGTGCTGCAAGAGCGGGACCTAAAGGTTGCATTGTCATCCTCTCCAGAGCCCGGGAGGTAAGTTCAGGAAGTACGCCCAGAGTCGCGGCCTGTGTGCTGGGTACTGTGTCGCCTAATTCCCGGAAGAACAGTGCCATAGCCCTGTTCTGTGGGAAGGAAGCAAGAAAAGGGTTCTTGTTCAAGTTCGCGTAACTAGCAAGTGGTGCCGCTTTGAACCTGTTTGTCTCTTTCCACCACTGCACACCGTTTTAAGGGCTCAACACCCCTGAGTCACAACGCACAACCGTTCAGACTCAAAGTAGCTGAGTGGTGGTCTCACCACATCCTCCCAGCCCCAGTCTGTCTGATCTCCGTGCAGGTGAGCTGGTTTTAGAACTGCACCGGTGTGGTAGCGCATGCCTGTAATCCCAGCACTCGGGAGGCTGAGGCAGGAGGATCGCTGTGAGTTTGAGACCAGCCTGAGCTACAAAGTGCCCTCAAGGCCAGCCTGAACTGCTTGGTGAGACTCTGTCTCAAAAAGACAAAAAACAAACAAACAAACAAAAAAAAACTGCACCGGGTGACATCATTGTAGTGACCTTGGTCAAACATCTTCTGTAATAGTCCGCTTTTTGAGGTGGAACTGGGTGCTGTGGGTGGGGTGGGCTCCCTGGGAGCAGAGCAGAGCTGAGACTGGCTGGCTGAGGGCGGAGAGGTCCAGATTCCTGGGAGGGCCTGCAGCGTGAATTGTAGGGTAGAACTGGTTCCAGCTGAGGCATAGGCTGGCTTGCTGTTGTCTGAGGTCTTTCCCGGGGTAATGGTAATAACTGCAGGGTGGCTTCCTGTGACCAAGGGCAGTGCTCCAGAGGGTGGCAGAGGGGCATGGGTGAGATGCCACCAACATCCCCTCATTGCAGGGATGAGTGTTTCAAGGATTACCTGCGTGAGAGTCCAGGGAGCTTGTTAAACACTGAGCTCCGGGCCCAGAAAGTACGACGTAGTAGGCTGGGCGAGGCTGCCACGTTTCCTTATCCAGCAAGTTCCCAGCTAAGGCTGCTGGTGCCAGGACCACAGAGGAAGCACTGTAGTAATTTACCAAAATGTGTTTGGCCAAAACTGAGAGTAGTAAACAGAAGGTTCTGGTAGATACAGGTCTCAGCTGATACAAGCGGTTTCCTACCACGTTCATATGATTCTAACTGCCAAACGGAGCATGGTGGTACATACCTATAATCCTAGCACTCAGGAGGCTGAGGCAGAAAGATGGCCAAGAATTTGAGGCAAGCTTGGGCTATATAATGAGTTCAAGGTCAGCGTGAACTACATAGCAGTGTCTCAAAAAGTTAAAAAAACAAAAAACAAAAAACCTGCTGAAGTCAGTGCCATAGTGCACACCTGTAATCCCAACTACTCAGGAGGCTGAGGCAGGCAGATTGCAAGTTGAAGCCAGCAGGAACAAATTGGTGATTCCTTGTCTTGCAATAAAATAAAGGGCTGAGATTGTAGCCTGTGCCACAGCGTAGAGCATTTGCCTAGCATGCACATGGCCCTGAGTTCAATCCCTAGTACTGAGAAAAAAATTGAGCTTTTAGGTCGAGGAGAAGAGGTACGTATGGAGGTTTAAGACATGGCCAATACAGTGGCATTTTGTAGTGCCTTTCTGCAGGGGGAAGGCTGTCACTGATTTTATTTTAAGGAGTAAGAGTCAGCAGGCTGAGGCAGGAGGATCACTGTGAGTTTGAGGCCAGCAAAAAGAAGAACCAATTCGTTCTCCCAGACTCTTTGTTCCAGACCATGAATGTGTCCTTGACAGATGGGGAGCACGCAGCACCACCGCCTCCCTCCCAGGAGGTCTGATCTTGACAGCTGTGGCTTCCGCAGTGACCGAGGTTCCTTACATTACAGGTTTTGTTTCCAATAATAGCTCCTCTTTCTAAGCACCCAAAATGGGTTAGGGAGGTGCTCAGGACTTATTATTCCATTGACTCCACACAGAAACCCACTTTACAGCAGGAAAACACGCTTCAGAGGCTGGGTGACTCGGCCAAGGCCCCATCACTGGCAGAACTGGGAGGTCTCACGATGGCCGGGCTGACTCCAGAGTCCGTGCTCTGGACCACTCTGCTGCCCTTGTGCGGCTCTGCAGAGCGAGGCAGGGTCTCATCCGCCCGCTGGTCCCTGGGGTTTACCTGGGGGTTTCTAGAAGGGAATCTGGATCCAACCTCAGGAGAGTGTTTGACTCGGGTTGGAACACGCCCCCCATCTCTCTCTACTGTCTGTCTATTTAGTTCAATGATCTTTTCTTTGTGAGACAGAGTCTGGCTATGCAGTCAGGCTGGGCTTGAGCTCACAACGATCCTCCTGCTTCAGCCTCCCAAGTGCTGGGATTACAGGCCACCACGCCCGGCCTCAGTTCAATGATTTTAATTGGTTTCATTTTCATTTCTAGACCTGGGCACACTTCACTGCATAAAATAGTAAAATGTTCCAGTGAACAGAGCAGAGTTGAGTTTTATAGACAGAAAAAGGCTGAAGAGAGTGGAAGTCAGAATACATTTCAAAGTCTGTAATCCCAGCACTCGGGAGGCTGAGGCAGGAGGATCCTTGTGAATTCGAGGCCAGCCTGGGCTACAAAGTGAGCTCAAGGCCAGTCTGAACTGCATAGCGAGACCCTGACTTGAAGGAAAAAAAAAAAAAAGAACACTTCAGTGCCTGAAAAGTAGAATAGGGACTGCAGGAATAATTGTCTCTGCCTCTGCAAGGGAGGTTTGTTCATTCAGCAGATATATGGAGGCCACCTGTCCACTGGACATTGCTCTGTAACAAGTCCCAACCTCAAAAGCTGGTAGTTAGGAAGCTCACTTGAGCTTGGGGTGGGTAGTAAACCACACCAACCTGACATCTCTTGCCTGAAGCTAATTTTCAAGATACATTTGGCTCTAGCTAGACTGGGGGCCTGAGGCTGCTCCTGACTGCTCACAGCTGAGGCCCCACCAGATGGGATCCGGATCTGGGATCCGGATCGGGCTAGCTCTGGCCTGAGGCTCACCTGGGTTACTTCCTGGCTCTCTCAGCCTTTCCAGGCTGAAACGTGAGCCTCACTGCAAGATGTGATCATCCTGGTCCCCCTGGCCGGGTTTGCGCCATTCTGACACTAGGTATTGGATGCTGGACTCCTCTTCAGCTTTGAAGAGCGGGCATTTTGGTACAGGTGTGCAGAGGCGAATGTCAGGCCCGTAGTGATGGGTGCCCTCTCCTCAGGAAATGCTGACAGGGCCACTGAGATTGAGTTGCCCTCTCATTTCAGCCTCACCTTTGTTCTCTGTCTCAGAATCATCGGTTAAAGGCTTTCTGTATAATCCTAAGGAAGTTTTTTATGTGCTCTCTAAAGGCAGCCTGACCTAATGGCGACTTACCTGAGTACAGCTCCAGAGATGAATTTCTGTTTGTTCTGCGGTACGGGCGACTGGACACAGCCTTTGCACTGTGCTGCCCTGCCTCTTCATTCTGAGGTAGAGTCACATGTCTCACTAAGTCGCCGAATTGCCCAGGCTGGACTCAAACTTGCGACCCTCCTAGAGCGCCGAATCACAGGCATGCGCCACCACACGCTGACCTCCAAGCTGCAAGAGCCCGTTTTCGCAGCTGTGGCTCTGCCCGGCCTGCGCTCTTCAGGCCTTAACCTGCCCGCCCTGGGGAGGGCTTGGGTGCTGAGAATGGAGTTCGGGACAGAAGGTCCTCCAGGTGCAGCGGCCGTCCCCAGTGTGGGACCGCGAAGTGCACCTGGACCCAGGGCCTCAGGACCACCTGCTTTGGAGGTATTTACCAATCTGCTGGCAATAATGACAAGCAAGGTCTTTATACAAACAAGGCTAGCAGGCGAGTCTTGAGAGGAACAGTAAAGTGACTGTGCTGGGAAACTAGACCCTATTTCAGAGCCTTTTCAGCAATTCTACGCAATGGACTGGGCAGTAAGAGTCGTTCAAATGTTGCGAGAGCTTGGTGTGTAATGAATTTAGGAAGCGCATGTGTTAAAAATGATTTCCTCCCTGTGGTTCTGGGGATCGAACCTAGGTCCTTCACATAAGCTACCTTCCCTTTTAGTTTTTTTGAGATGGGTTCTTGCCAAGTCACTAACACGCACAGGTTGGTTCCAACTTGGGGTCCTCCTCACTCAGCGTCCCGGAGTGCTGGGATTGCAGGCGTGAGCTACCATGTGTGGCTAAGAATCTCTTTATACCTGTACTGTAGGAGGCTGGAGAACGAGGGGTGGAGTGAGGCGGTGGCCCGGGCACTTGCAGGACCTGGCGATGTAAGTGTGATCGGTGGTGAGGGCGGGAGTACTGTAGTCTGGGAGGGGCCCCTAGGGGAGTGGGAGGTAAATGCAGGCGCAGTTTAGGGCAACAGGGAAAAGCAATGGACTCGATTTACCTATATCACCACGGGTCGATCCTAAAAACCTTCCTGGTGAAAGACGATACAAAATAAAATATATAATAATATGTTTATGAAATTTAAAATATGTACTGTGTGTCCACTGAACTGCAGAACATTTGACAAGAACGCACGCAGGCAGAAAGACGCACACTACACACAGCAGAATGACCGGCGCAGTAGGTGACAGTAGTAGGGATGCGCAGATGTCCCCACAGGATGGGCAGAAATCCCCAAGGAATCGGGAGGTGGACGCTGCTGCCCTGCGGTGTTCCTAACGCAGCACTCTTGCAGGTGTTGGCTTCTCTAATGGGAGAAAAGAAATCCCAAGAACTGTATGTTAAAAACAAAATAACAAAAACCCCCAAAACCAATTCCTTCTTGTCACTGTATTAGAACAGGGCCACATGTGTAAGTACCATGTTGTTTCTCAGGTGTGAGAAACCAGAAGTGTAAATAAGGACCAAGATGTATTAGAACAGGGCTTCTTAGCTTCTGCGCGACTGACATTTGGAGCCCAGACGTCCTTTGTGGGGGCCGTGTGTGCACGATAGACGCACATGCTCACTTTGTCCACGGGCTCCCGCAGTCCCAGCAGCCTAAGCCACCTCCGCACAGATCTCAGGAGACAGAATCACCCCCAGTTGAGAACCTGAGTTCCAGCAGGCCCAGATGTCGTCTTTAATCTTTTCATGATGTTGGTCAGTGGAGGTTTTGTCGGGACACTGGAAGCAGCTGTCATTTGGGTCGGTAATGAGTCAGTCACAAGAGCTTTGCCCAGCTTTTATTTTTTTTAAGAATTATTTGTTTCAGTGCAGGGATCAAACCCAGGGGCTTGTACATGCTAGGTAAGTTCTCTGCCACTGCACTGCACCGCCGGCTTCAGGCTTTCTGCTGCTCCCTTTCCAGAGAAGTCAAGAGGAGGGAGGTGGGCAAGGGAGCAGCAGGAAGGTGAGGAAAGGTGTGCAGACACAGAATCTAAATTACAAGTCTCACCTAATGTGGAAATTAAGCATGCCGTTTTTATCCAGCCTGAGCTTCATGAGTTCAAGGCCAGCCTGCACTACACAGCAAGATCCGTCTCAACTGCCCCCCTGGTCCCCAAAGAAATAAAAGCCACAGCCTTGTGGGGCTGGCCCTCCTGCGGGCCAGGAAGCAGCTCCAGGAGCCCGGAGCAGATGCAGAGTACGCCTGTCCCTGCACTATGTCTCATGTGCTTGCTCCCTTTTGAACACTGTTGGGAACTGGTTTATTCCTTCTCTTCTCTGATAAAACCTATTTCCTACTTTAATTTTTTATTTTTATTTTTTTTGGTACCGGGTATCAAACTCGTGACCTTGCGTTTGCCAGGCAGGCACTTGCGCCACTGAGCTATATCCCCAGCCCCCTATTTCCTACTTTAAATTAAACCCTTTCCTACTGAAAGTTAAACCATTGGTTACATTTTTTTTTTTGGTACTGGGAATCGAACTCAGGACCTTGTGCTTGCCAGGCAGGTGCTGTGCTGCCAAGCTATATCCCCAGCCTGAAACCCTCCGCTTACTACCTTATACCCATGGTCTGCGTGGGGGTCAGAGAGTAAATATTTGTATGTGTAGATACACATTTTTTTTTTCGGTACTAGGAATTGAACTCGGGCCTTGCACTTGCCAGGTGGGCGCTGTGCCGAGGAGCTACATCCCTGGCCCTATATTTACGTTTTTTTAGACCAATGTTTTAAAAATGTAAAAATCATTGTTTGAGGGCCATTCAAAAACAAACATCTGGCTGCCTTAGCTTTTTTTTTTTGTCTTTTTGAGACAGGGTTTCATTATGCAGTTTAGGCTGGCTTTGAACTCGCTTTGTAACCCAGGCTGGCCTTGAACTCACAGGTCGTCCCATCCTGCCTCAGCCTCCTGAGTGATGCAATCCGTGCGCACCACCACCACGCCTGGCTTGTCCTAGCTTACTGACCTCTGCTCTAGACAGGTCCTCAAATGGGCCCTACCTAGCCTAGTTAGAATTAGCAGGAACCTGTCCAGACTTCTGCAGACAAACTGAAGGGAACCAGCAGAAGCAGCCCAGTGATCCAGAAGGTGAATGGAGAAAGGGCCCTTTCAGAGCTGCCCCTTTACCACCCGAGGGGCAGAGGACCTCAGTGACCTTGCCTTTGCTTAGTTTTGCTGCACCCCGGAAGGCGGGGAAGCTGCCCCAGGACGGGGAAGTTTTCACGGAAAAGCACTAAGAGCAGGCTTGGAGGCACGCGCCTGTAACCCCACTCACCTGGGGACCTGGGGGTCTCCACAACAGAAAGGCTCAGCTCTCCCAGGCTTCAGTCCCAGCACCGCACACACACAAGCAGGGCGCTGATGTGGGAAGCCCTGTGGGCTCAGCCCCCACACACCCGGCGCCGGCGGAGGGTCCTCACGCTGCCTGAGCAGGGGCACAGGCCACCGCGAGGGGAAGCCTGGCCAGCCACGGGGCTGCAAATGTGGGTCTCAACTTCCGCAGAATGCTCAGTGGATTCCACAAATGGTACGAGAATTTTATTTTGATAAAAACGTCTTTTCATGCGGGCCTCCTCCCACCACTAAAAAGCAGCTTCAGAGCTGAACAGCCACGCGCTCACTTCGACGCGCCCTTCTTAGGCAGCTTCAAGTTCTTCCACCTTCGCAGCACCACGCGGTACTTGTCACTGTCCGTCTTCTCCGCAAACACCTTCTTCAGCAGAATCCGCATCACAGCCTCCGTCTCTGCTTCCTTGTCCTCGCCAATGAGAAGATCCAGTGTATCTCCTACTTTCACCTGAAAATAAGCAAACAGAGCCTCTTACATTTGGGGATAGAAACGCAGGCCCTCGAAAGCACCTCCGTGAGTTTTCACCTGGTGGGCTGATCGCCTTGCAGGACGGGCAGGCGAGAAAGGGCTGCCCCAGCCCGGCCCCTCCCCGCGCCGCCTGTCAGGGGGCTCGGCGGCCCCTCAGGCCTGTCAGCTGGTGGCCGTGGCCCCTGGGTGACGAGCGAGCCTGACAGACACACCTGACCCGGAACACCGAGTGTGCACTCAGCGCTGCGTCCTCCAGGGAGGACGCTGTAGGGCCGCATGTCCTTCAGCTCATATAATGGGGATGGGTGGTTTGCTGGAAAGCAGGCACCATGGATGGTGGTCACCGGTGGAGGAATTTCCAGAGGTAAAGACACTGCTTTTCCAGGGCCGCTGGCCTCGGGCGCCACACGATCAGGCGGGACAAATGATGTGCAGGTGGAATGCACAGAGCGCAGCGCTGTGGTGCCGTGAGTTATGGGGCTAAAGCGAAACCCTGTCTTGCCAGAAGGGAGCCCTGGGTTGAGCGTGTCAAAGCGCACTGCAATGCAGGGCCCAGCCCCTGTGCCCGAGGACTCAGCTGTGTGCTGAGGACGTGGACAGCAGGTGAGATACCTGCTTTGAGCGGCTCAGGATCTCAGGGAATTTTCCCAGAGATTCAAGAAGAAGCTAGACAGCTGGGCATGGTGGTGCACGCCTGTAATCCCAGGAGAAGACAGGGAAGCTGAGGCAGGAGGAACCCAAGTATCAACTAAGCTAGGGCAACTTAGTGATTTAGCAAGAGCCCATCTAAAAAAAGAAAAAGAAAGGAGGGGGAATAAACAGGCTGAGGTGCCACATGCTGCTCCTACTAAAACACAAGCCAGGAGTGCGTGGGGGCCACCTTCCACCCGCTTCCAGGGCAGTGGGGCACGGACTAAGTGGGCAACAGGGCTATTTTAAAGCCCACTGGTGGGCTTCCATTTAAGAAGCCTGGTGTCGCCAGGCACAGTGGTACATGCTGGTAATCCCAGCACTCAGGAGGCTGAAGCAGGACAGGAGGGCTGCAAGTGTGAAGTTACCTGGGCTGTGCAGCTAGTTTGAGGGCAGCCTAAAGTTGGGTCCATGGATGTGTATGCCCATGTAATCCCAGTATCCGGGAGGCTGAGGCAAGAGGATCACCATGAGTTCTGAGGCCAGCCTGAGCTATACAGTGAGACCCTATCTCAGAAAACAAAGCCAAAAACAAAACCCCAAAAACTCAGCAAAAACAAAGTGAATTAAGCTAGCCCGAGCTACCTGGTGAGACCATGTCGGAAACAACTAAGAACCACGGTGCCAAATGCTTTTACCTTATTTTCCAATCGCATTCTCTGAGGCACACAGCTTCAAGCATCTGGCCCTAACCAGAGCAAGCCTGTGTCTGCTCTCCCGCCCACCCAAGCCTTCATCCCCAAGCTTCAGCCACACCATGGGCGTCTGCACCTGCTGGCTGCCACACTGCGCTGGTCAGTTCGGGGGAGCTGGGCGCGAAGCTTATGCAGGGGCAGATTAAACAGTAACTTCCTTCCTGCTGGGCTCAGAAACAAGATTCACCCCACAGCTAGGTATCAGGGCAGCTTCCCAGCTGCACGTGGTGGCACACGCCTGTAGTCCCAGCACTGGAGACCAAGCAGGAGGATCACTTCGCGTGCAAGCCCAGCCTGAACTACATAATGAGACTCTGCCTCAAAAAATAAATGAAGGAAGGAAGGAGAACTAGAAGGTCTGGAACGAGCCTTTTCTGCATAATTTTATTTCACTAGAATTTAATAGGAAGTAGATGTATGTGGTACAAAATGTAGAGGACAAAGGGCGTACAAGAAAAAAGACGATACCTTCTGCGCCTCCCTTTACACTGCAGCCAGTGGGCAGCAGAAACGGAATCCCTCAGGGGGTTTCCTTGTAAGGCAGAGGCTAGAAAAAGGGTGTGTCTGTCCTCTGCCCAGCTGATCTGGGGGCAGGTGACTTCAGGAGGCCACCAACGCCCACAGTTGGGTTCTCCTCACTACTGTCTGGGCCCACAGCTACCCAGCAGCCAAAGCACTCAGCCCTTCAGCTCAGCTGCAGGCAGCCGGGGTTGTAGCCCAGCAGCAGACATGCGCCTGGGGCCAGCGCCTGACCCTTCGGGCCAGCAGCCAGGCGCAGCTCCCCGGAGCTGCCGAGGAGAGCAGGCATTCTTTATTCCCCTCCCAGGTTGTCCTTCAGCACACACAAAGCAAAACTGGCTGGGATTAGTGGCTGCTCCAAATATCTACATTTTAAATCTCCCCTTAGCTGCAGTTTCTATGACGACCAGGCCTCCTCGTAACAAGGCTGCTGAGTGTTACGCTGGCCTCTGCCTGCTGACCCTCAGGAGAGATCGGGAAGGCAGCGAGACAACAGAACACCAAGGCAGAGTGAGGCAGCAGCAATCAGGCCGCAGTGACAGTATCTCAAAGCAGGGGGGAGACACAGGCCTGTGGGGCTTGTGAATGAGGCCGGCAGAGAGAAGCTGCTCAGGGAGTCGTTCCTCACTCCGGGAACAGCTCTGCCTTCGCCTCCTCCCACCAGCGGCCAGCTGGACAGTGACAGCCTGTGGTGGGCAGTCATGGGCTCGTGGGCCTTGTCGGTGGCTGACAGGGGAGACCCCCCATAACCATGAGGACGGGTGTGATCCTGGAGGTCAGAGGCGGAAGACAGCTGCAGTGCTCACCCTGATGCATGGCTGGCGCATTTCCAGGGCAGCGGAGGTGAACCCATGCACTGTCGAGGGGGGGGGGGGGCGCGTGGTTTGCATCACTGGGTGTTCAAGGTTCGCGTCACTGCCCTAGGGCAACAGGGCAGCTCTGCTCCTCTAACCCCGAGGAAGCCAGTGGCAGAACACTTGCTAGTGTGCATGCGCCCCGGGTTGCGTCCCCAGCACCCGACACGGAGAAACAGCTTAGCACCACCACCAAACAGCTGCAAGCGGGACTCACTTCTCCAGAGTATGTGTTCCCTCCGCACTAAGACAAGGTCTGCCCTTATTACCTGTGTGCTCCCGGGGACTGACCCAGGGCCTTACACTCTTTCTTATGTTAATTCCGATTATCCACATTGTTTACTCCAGTTTGCAAGTGGTACATACTCACGGGAGAAATTCAGAAAAAAAGGACAGGCCAATTAATACAACCTATTATGCCCTACTCAAAGACAGATAATAGTAACAGAAATCATTTAATTCCCGATGTATGTATTTTTTTTTTTTTTTTGGTCTTTTTTGAGACAGGGTCTTGCTATGCAGTTCAGGCCGTCCTTGAACTCACAACAATCCTCCTGTCTCAGCCTCCCTCAGCCTCCCTCGTGCTGGGATTACAGGTGTGCACGACCACGCCTGGCTTACATGTGACTTACTTTGAGCTAGGTATTGTGGTGGTGCCTGTACTCACAACTGTTTGTGAGGCTGAGGAAAGAGGATCTCAAATTTTAAGCCAGCCTGGGAAACATACATGTATGTACAGGTATGTATTTTACACACCCACCCACAGAGCTCAGAGGGTAGACTGGGGGTACAGCATTCACAGCTGCCACAGTCAACCTCCAGAACCACAAAGGAACAAAACAAGCCAGGTGTGGTGGCGCACGCCTGTAATCCCAGCACTCAGGAGGCTGAGGCAGGAGGATTGTTGCAAGTTCGGGACCACCCTGGGCTTCAAAGTGAGCTCATGCCAAGCCTGAACTGCATAGCCAGACCCTGTCTCAAAAAGACAAAGAGAAACAGGGCTGGGGATGTAGCTCAGCGGCACAGCGCCTGCCTCGCAAACATGAGGTCCTGAGTTTGATTCCCAGTACCAAAAAAAAAAGTAAAGAAGCAAAATAAATTTTAACAAACTCTCTACAATTTAGTGTCACAAAAGTGATGCTGAAGAACACCTCCTTGTAACTGACTCCTTTCCCCCAAGAACAGTGCTGACGTGGACCTACGGGGAAGCGCACGGCAGCACACTCACGCACTGCTTGACAGGCGCTGCGGCCTGAAGCTGGACAGCACGACCACCTGCTCAGCGACGCCAGGCCCAGCCACTTCTCCGCGACCCAATGTCTCTGTGACCTCATCACTACGATTCACAGAGGCCCACATCAATATCCTGGAGGTTTAATTAATGGATCTCTGCTGTCTTGACAGTGGCTTATCCTAACACCGTCATCCCAAGGACATTAGGAGAGTAAGAGCGAGTGGCCTGCGACGGCAGCGTCGTGATTCCCGCCAGCCTGATGGGACGGAGGGCGCCGGGTGGGTCGGAAGCCCGCCTGCCCTGTGGAGGAGGCCGGGGACCCAGGCCAGCATGGAGTGCTGTCTGCGCAGCATGCGAAGCCGTGCGGCTGCCGTGCTCCATGTCTTACCGCTCTGCTTTTCTTCCACAGTTTCTCCCCATTCAGTCTGAGTGCGCCTTTGTAGAATGCATCTTCCACTTGGCTGAAAAAAGAAGGGCAGTTTTGAAAATATAAAGACATATTCAAAACAATTATGTTTCAGGACAATACCTGAAATTAATATTTATGCCAAAATCCCCATTTGGAGCGCTGGGAAAGTGAAAAGTCAGCTTTGCCCGCGTGCATCTCACACCAGGACCCGGGGCTCCTGCGGAGATGGGGCAGCACCAAGGGCCACTGGCTGAGGGTGGCTTTACGAGAGGCTTCAGCGTGCAGACCGAGCTTGTCTCCCGGGGCGTCACCTGCCTGGCCGTAGCTATGTGAGTCACAAGGTCGGAGTGGGCGCTGCTTTCCCCTCAGACACCTGCTCTGCACTCTGAGAGGAAACCCAGGCGCCGCACACAGGCCAAGGCCCGGAAGAAACCCCGGCCGATCAGCGCTGCGGTGGGGACATCCCAATCCGACAGCTGCTCACTGTCAGCGCAAACCACTGGATGAGGAGAGGAGACCGGCGAAAACCTGTGCCCTTTCCTTGTGAGGATCCTGCTCCAGGGGACGACAAGGGGACGCAGCCTGGTAAGGATGGCTGCAGCTACGACTCCGGGGAAGGAGCCTGAGCCACCAGGTTCTACTGAACATCCAACAAATCCTAACCTGGAGGCCAACGGGGGAACCTAAGGGCTCAGTCTTTTTAGGGAGTCTCTTAAGCTCCATGGATTAAAAACTTAAACTATGCCATTAAATTAGCCCATAAAAGTGCAAATTACAGAAGGAAATGGTTCTGCATTTATTCATACACAATTCTTACGCTGCATGTAGCACGCATACAATGACTGCTGAGGGGTAATGAACAGCGAGCACCCCGAATACTACAATTAGTCTGGCAGAGAGGACGAGCCTGTTAGAGAAATCTTGGGCCGGGCATGGTGGTGCACGTCCATAACCCCAGTGCTCGGGAGGACAAAGCAGGAGGATCAAAGTGGACAATACAGTTACTTAGCAAGAACCTCCTCAAAAAAAAAAAAAAAAAAAAAAAAAGTAGAGTACTGGGGATATAGTTCAGGGCCAAGGCTCTGTGTTTGATCTTCAATCCCTAGCGCGCGCGCACACACACACACACACACACACAGGAAATCTTGAAAGTTACACTTAGTATTTCTACGTGCTATATATGCATGCACACAGAACTTTTTTCTTTTAAGGAGGTTTATTCTGACTCACTGCAGTACAAGGTGTGATTGAAAAACACAGTAAAAGAATCTATTATGATAAAAGGCACACGGTCATTAGCCCCCCATTAAAATACTCCTTGCTTCAAACACACGTACCCCATGGCTTTTGCCCCTTTCTGAAGCAGTTCTGAAGTCCTCTTTCACGAGCGTCTAGTTGCACTGCTGTGGCTGCCTCACTGTCCTGAACTGACTCCAAACATTCACTTTTCATGGTCACTTTGCCACAGTGGAAGAGCCAGAAGTCACATGGTGCTTCACCTGTTCAAAAGGTGGATGCAAACACACCAACATGTTCTTAAGAGCCTGCTTTTCCACTGGCTGGCACTTGGTCGCAGCGTTCATCATATTTTTTAATCTCTCCTTGTAAAGACATGAAAGAGGACTTCTAGAACTGCTTCAGAAAGTGGCAAGAGGCCCCCACATGGTGGCACACGCCTGAAATCCCAGCACTCAGAAGGCTGAGGCTGAAGCAGGAGGGTCGTTGTGAGTTCAAGGTCAACCTGGGCTACAAAGAGAGTTTAAGGCCAGCCTGAACTGCATAGTGAGGCCTTGTCTCAAAAAGACAAAAAGAAAAAAGGAAAAAAAAGGAAGTGGCAAGCATGGTGGAATAAGCGTGCAAAGCGATGAGGAATATTCTGAGGGGACTGATGCCAATGTGCCTTTTACTATAAAAAATGGTTCAAGTTTAAGCCTTTGTCTTGTATTATGATCACCCTTAGTATTTTCTTTATAAAAGCTAATGTAGGCCAGGTGAGATGGATCATGCTTGTAATCCCAGCACTTGGGAGGCTGAGGCAGGATGGTCATGAGTTTGAGGTCAGCCTGGGCTACATAGTGAGACACTGTCTCAAAAAACCAAACAAAAAAAAAGAAAAAAAAAAAAGGTTAACATAAAAAATCTAAATAAACAAAAGCTACCATATATCGAGTACTACTGTGTTCCAGGCATTATTATCAAATGCATTAGATGGATACTCATTTAGTCCTAACCACTACCTTCTAATTTCTAAGTAGATACTACTGGCCCCATTTTCAAGATAAGAAAACTCAGGCACAACACAGAATGTAAGTGACTTGTCCACGCTCACAGAGAATGAGGGTTAAAACTCTCGTAGTCTGGCTCAAGAGCCTGAACTGACGACCGCCGGGTATTTCTCCGGTTGACTCTGAGGTCCTGCCTCACACCACAGCATCTGTGAAATCCAGGGGCCGCCAAGCTTGCTCTCTACATCTAATATTCTTTTTCTCCTCACGAGGCTGTCAGTCAATTAGTGGCCTTCAGCTGTGTCTACGAGCCAAGGAAACACGGCTCGTGGGACTTGCAGTCACTTGCCTTCTTTCAGTTTCTCATCTATACAATGAAATCACTGAAACAGGTTTCCTGGAAGGTCCTTTCCTGCGTGGCTACGCTTCACCATAACACGGCCTGAGCCATCTGTAACCTGGCACTGCAATGAACACCCGCCGAGCAAGGGGCGGTGAAACCCGCACACTTACTTCCTCCCGATGTCCAGGCCCGACTTCAGGATGACGTCGTACCGAAACGACTGAACCGCCTTCTCCAGGTCCTTGTAGTCTCTGACCACGGCGGGGTCGTCCTCAAGCTCCTCCTCCTGGTCGCTTCTCTCGTTAGAGTCGCTCTCCTCATCCGAGTCCTCGTCGCCTTCTACTTTTTGCAGAGCTTTTTTAGAGGACTTTTCAGAGCTTATATTGCTTTTGAGTCTTATAAAAAATGGAAAAATATATTCTGGAGACACTGAAAGCCCTGGGAGTCTCAGAGAGAAAACATTATGGAGAAGTGTTTTATAACCAGATGCCTTTAACTTGGTACTTGAAAAATATAAATACTGATGCCAGGAAGCACAGAGTCTGTGTGAAGATGTCCTTTGAAGCACACCCCAGAGTCCAACCCAGGTTTCTGGCTTCTTAAAAACACCAGCGAACAACCTGACACTGGTCATAGCCATGGTGCCTCCAACCTGCAACAGACAAGTATTCAGTGTGATTGCCCAAGGGCAGCACCGCGGCAGGCTGACACGGGGAGAGAGGGAGGGACCACACACACACACACACACACACACACACACACACACACACACACACACACGGCACGGGCACTTCCCGTGCAGTACCCACTGATGCCCCCAACCCCCAAGGCCGCATCAGTGCCCGCGGAGGGCCTGTGCCAGACCACGGTGTCTTCTGAGCGCACTTCACGAGCTTAGCCCCGAGGGCTGTCCTCAGTTCCCGAGACTCTAGTGTGTGCGATCACAGTTCTGCTCTCTTCCTTCCCCCAGTCAGCGCTGGGTGCGGACTGAGCTAATTTAAAAATATCAACACTAATTCTCAATGACTTGTCTAAAAAACCTGAAGAGAGACTACCTACTGACACATGGCACCCTTACAATCCCGGCACTGCCCAGGAAGAAGAGCAGATCATGACTTCATGAAGCTCCATACATCTCCATCCCCAGCAAATCAGAGCGAGGAATGAACAAACCCGCGGACCCGCACCTGACCACCTGACCTCCCTTTCATCTCCTGCCCAACAGCTAGCAGACGAGGGGCCTGGCCAGCCACAAAAAAGGCAGTCACGGCTGGAGGCACTGAGTGCTGCCATGCCAGCAGGCGGTCGGTTTCCAGGTCCCGCAAACCCAGCCAGAACCCTCACCGGGACGGCGGCAGGCCTCGCCAGCGCGTTGAGATGGTTTAGAGGTCAGGATTTGACGAGAGAAGGGTTCCATGTGGTCATTATCCTCATCCTGTGTCTGCACACGACTGTGCTTTGTGTCAAGGTTATACTTCAGGACTGATTTATTTAATGATTCTTACAATTTTTCTTTCCTGCTTTTCATTAGGCCAGCAATGACCAGTATGGCTCACACAGAAACACACGGCTACCTACTTCTAAGTTCCGTTAACAGTTTTGGGCCTTGCTTTTCTGGAATGAATGACCATACAAATTCAACTCTACTATCCCACCATTCTTGGGGTCTCAACTTAACTCTTTTTTTTTTGGTATCAGGTATTGAACTCAGGACCTTGTGCTTGCCAGGCACGCGCTGTGCTGCAGACCTATATCCCTGGCCCGCAACTCTTCAAGGATAAAGCAGGCCCAATTTAAGGGCTGTTTTTCAATATAACCATGATTTTATTATTACTATTTCATTTTATTTTATTTTACTTTATTTTTTGGTCTTTTTTGAGTCAGGGTCTCCCTATGCAGTTCAGACTGGCCTTGAGCTCACTTTGTAGCCCAGGCTGGTCTCGAACTCGCAATGATCCTCCTGCCTCAACCTCCGGAGTGCTGGGATTATAGGCGTGCACCACCGCACTCGGCCTATAATTTTAAAACATTATAAAATTCATAAAATGACTAGAAACTTGAAGCACTTTCAAGGGAAATGTTACCCCTCAAAAAAACCATACTTTTTTTTGAGACAAGGTCCTGCTATATAGTGCAGGCTGGCCTCAAACTCACAGCGATCCTCCTGCCTCAGCGTCCTAAGTGCTGGGATTACAGGTATGCACCACCACTGCCAGGCTCTTTTCATCTTTTTAAGACAGGGTCCTACTGTGTAGCTTAGGCCATCCTTGCAATGTAGCCCAGTGTGGCCTAGAATTTGTGGCAGTTCTTCCTCTTCACCCTCCTAAGTAGTAGGATTACAGATGTGTGCCACCATGCATATTCTAACTTAATGTACAACAGCCATGCAAAGAACTTTAAATTTTATAAAATCAGGGATAAAAGAAGAAAACAGCATATTTCAAGAGTCCACAGATGTTGTACTTCATGGATCACTACAATAAATTTTTCTTCAACAAAAGCTAACCTATTTACCTACTACAATATCAAAAAGAATGGGGTAGGGCAGGGGAGGGACTATGACCCCAACTCAGAAGAAACCCCAAGAGGAGGTGCCCCGGAGGCAGGAAAGTACTCACGGCTCGGGAGGGGCAGTCAGGTCCGTGTCTGTCCCTGGGTACCTGTGTTCCCATCCCCGAGCCCTAGTGCTATACCACACTGCTGCTCCTTTTGGAGGATGCCTGCATGTGGGGCTCTCTACACATCACAGGTAGTTAGATCCCCCACACTAGGAAAGCTTTCCTAGCACACAATCACTTGGAAACTGCACTCATATGGAAACATACAAAGCCAAGTTCTGCCTTAGCTGCTCCCTCTCTGTGATCTGCTTCATATTCCAGCAGGCAGACACTGGCAGAGGCTGGAGGTTCAGACCACACGAGAGACACAGCACCACCAGAGAAACGCGCGAACCTGGTTTTTGCTGGACAGGACGAATACCTAGGGGAGCGATGGGCACTCAAGGCCTCAGGGGCGGAGCCTGGGAACCCAGAACAGGTCAGGGAAGCCCTGAGTTGGGAGTCGGGTGCCAGAAAGGGGGTGCAACCCAGGTCCCCAGCTCCTCTTCAGCCAGAGCAGTGTTGGTTTGTACTGTTTGAGAAGAGGGTTCTGCTGCAGAAGCTTCCATCCTTGGCGCGGTCTCCCCCGCCCTCCTCCAGACTCCAGTCACCCCGTGCTGAGTCTCCGTCACTTCCTAACTAGCTCTGCGGACTACTGCCTCACACTAGGACAGTGACGACGATGATAACCGAAGGCCGCTGTGGCACGTGTGCCGCAGAATGGCCACCAGTGCTCTATAAGCTGTGACAGCGCAGTGCCCGTGGCCTCTTCCGTGTTCCCATCCCCAATCTGCTGTGCACCTGTAATAACCAGTCAAGTACAGCACATCACCTTTGTAGCGATGGACATCCTGCCCACGACTACACCTACCCCACACTGATTTGCCAGCACCCCCAAGCGCTTGGGCAGGCCTTGTCCTCAGGGAGCTGCCACTTAAATGGAACGCGGGCAGGTGAACGGGCTGTCGTCAGAGAAGGCTGGACCTTACACCGGTGGACGCCCAGGACAGGGATGCCTGAGGAGCGGTCTGGCAGCAAGATGGCTGAAGCCGAGTAACTTCACTAACAGACCACACTCAGTGTGCAAGCAGGCAACTCTTTAACTGTACTACCTCCTAGCTACTACCTGTGGCCTTTTTAAGACAGGGTCTCCCTATGCAGTTCAGGCTGACCTTGAGCTCACTTTGTAGCCTAGGCTGGCCTGGAACTTGCAATGATCCTCCTGCCTCAGCCTCCCGAGTGCTGGGATTACAGGCGTGAGCCACCATGCCCGGCTCCTCCCAGGGGCACTTTGGTCTTGGTATTCTGATCTCACCAGTGGCTTCTTCCCAAGACCCCTTTGCTAGCCAGGTGTGGGCACGGCTGTAACCTCAGATACTACCGGAACTGAGGTAGGAGGATCACACAAATTCAAGGCCAGGCTGGGCAATTTAGTGAGAACCTACCTCAAAATAATTCTTTTTCTTTTCTTTTTTTCTTTTTGGTGTGTTTTGTTTTTTGAGACAGTTTCCTTATGTACTTCAGGCTGACCTTGAACTCATTACCCAGCCCAGGCTGGCCTCGAATCCTCAGGGATCCTCCTGCTTCAGCCTTCCGAGTGCTGGCATCACAGGTGTGCCCCACCATGCCCAGTGAGCAGCTGTCACGTGCTATCATAATTTACTGGGTCTGTCTGCCCGTGTCCCTCACTAGCCTAGAAACTCCACAAGAGTACATTCTTCACCTCTATCTTTTCCCTTTGCTGAATTCCAGTGCCCCAAATAGCTGGGCGTGGCGGCACGCCTATAATCCCATCACTGGGGAGGCTGAGGCAGGAGGATTGTTGCGAGTTCAAGACCTGCCTGGGCTACAAAGTGAGCTCAAGGCCAGCCTGAAAAAAAA